GAGTTTAGGATCCAGTTACCAGAAAATGCCAACTCAACTGGCTTAAACAATAAGGGACCCTATATATTTCTCCTAACAAGACATAAGCTAGGGTGGCTTTAGAGATGGTGGCTTAACTGTATCAAGAAAAACCCCCTCTTTCTATCTTTCTTCTCCGCCAACTTTAACTTAATGAGTTTTCCTTTGGGCTGACTCACCTCATGGCAACAAATTGGCTGCAGCAAATCCAGGCTTACCATCCTGATGCAGTACTGGCTAGGAGAAAGATACTTTCTCTCTCTTGGGCCTCTCTGTAAAGTGGAGGGAAAAATTCTAGAAGCTTCTAGAAACTTCCTCTGAAAGCTTATTTACCAGAATTTTGCGGTCACAAAACAATGCTTGAGCTATCACTGCTGAGGGAATTAAGATGATCGTGATCAGTATAAACCAACCAGGATCTCACCTAGAGGCATAGGAGGGAGGGGTAGATGCTGAAACAACAGGAGTGTTCTATCAGCAGGGGAAAAATAAATAAATAAATATTGAGGAGGAAACCAGCAGTGTCAGCTACACCGCTTTTCATAGTGAATTAGTTTATGCCGAATTTCAGGGAGGTTCAGTCACTTACATACGGTCCCGCAGCTGATAAAAATAGAAGTCGGATTCAAATCCAGCTCTTTAAAACTCCAAAGCCCATCTATGCACTTTTTTCTGCTGCACAGCTGGACCCAGAGTCAAACTTCACTTCCCAGAAAAGCCAAAGCCCCCTTCCTCGTGGTGAGCGCCTCAGGAGTGGAGGCAATCGCCCTGCTCTCCCCAGCCGACCTTCCGCTGGGCATTTAATCTGTTTATTAAGTTATGACTAATGGTGCTGCGAGACACCGAGGGCCGCACGTTCAGACCTAGTTTTAGATTGTTAGAGGAGGTTCAGGGGATAAACATCATATTCATATTCTGTGCCGAGAAAATTCAATTGCAGCTCTTTCTCTTTCAGAGCGCGGGATTGGCGAGGGGCGTCTGCTGGGTCCTGCTTGGGTTTAATAGAAATGAAACCTCCAAGGCAGGCGGGCTGTTTTGGGAAAGTGGCCGCTAATGCGGCCCCTTGGGGCGGGGGCCAGGCCTGAACCGGGCAGTTTGCATATTCACTTTTACAAACAGTTGGCTCCAAGTCAGCAGTTAATGGGATGGGAATGATGTTCCTGTACCGAATCATTTCCTGAAAAAAACATTTCCAGTTGCAAACATATCTCAGCCTTTCTTCTTGCGTTTGTTTTGTCTCTGGGAGTGAATTAAAGAGGCAGGGCAGAGGGGAGTGTTTCTGACGGGGGATTTTTATCTGAAATCATTTTTAACAATGATCTCCAAGTAAAAGAGATCCCGTTCAGACCGACCTTTAGGCGTCCTGGCTGCTAATATTGCATTTCTGGGCACACTTTAGAGGTATAAATGTCTCCATTTTCACCAAGTGGCTCTGGCTGTACAACAGTTTTGGGACACATGCGGCTTTTCTTTCCTTCCAAAACCTAAGCTGGAAATGCTGGCCCAGGAATGTGCACACACACGCACACATACACACATGCACACACAGGGTCAGGCTAAAAATTTTGTAGGTTTTTCCTGAGGACAAGCTGGAATCCTTTTTGTATCCTATGCACTGCTTTGGCAAAGTATGCTTCAACCCGTAACCTGGGCAACTGAAGGGTGGTCTTAATTAACAGTTTTGATCACTCATTTATTCAACAAGTAGTTCTTGAATGCTCACTGCACATGAGGTATTGTTTTAAGTAATAAGAATAACATATATTTACATAGATCTTACCAGATACCCAGAGAGTCTAGTAAATATGTTACATATATTAACTCATTTAGTCTTCTCAACAACCCTAGGGGGTAGGCAATCTTATCATTCCTGTTTTTCCAATAAGGAAACTCAGTATAAGAGGTTGATGAACTTGCCCAAGGTCACATACGGTAGCTAGTAAGTGATCTTGGATATTAACCTAGGGAGTCTGGCTCCTCTTTGGGGAATCTAATAGTGGGCCAAAGAGACAAAGTGCCAGGCTTCCCACGGCTTATCTTCTGATGGGAGAGGTGGCTAACAGACTGTAACTAATGATGATTTCAGGTCATATTGAGAGCTTGAAGCAAATAAAACATGAGCGGGAGGCAGTGGGCTAATCAGAGGGTTTTCTAGGTCTTAGGAGTTGGGGTTTTCTTTTGAGTATGACAGGAAGTCTTAAAGCAGGAGAGTGTCTGACCCTATTTATGTCTTTATGTATCATTCTGACTGTAATTGGAAGTAGATGGGGTAGGGCTGAGGGGGGGATATGCATTAGAAAGCAGTAGACCTGTGGTGGTTCTGGTTGTCCAGGTGAGAGATAAGGATGGCCTGAACCAGGATGATGGTGGTGGTGCTGGTGAGCAGCAGCTGGAATTGGGTCCTGGTTTGGAGGTGGAGCCCATAAAACAGCGGTTCTCAACCTGTGGATCGAGACCCCTTTGGCAGTCGAACGACCCTTTCACAGGGGTCGCCTAAGACCATCCTGCATATCAGATATTTACATGACGATTCATAACAGTAGCAACATTACAGTTATGAAGTAGCAACGAAAATAATTTTATGGTTGGGTCACAACATGAGGAACTGTATTTAAAGGGCCAGAAGGTTGAGAACCACTGCAAAACTTGCCAGTGTATTAGACGCAAAAGGTGAGGGGGGAGATGTTGTTACAGATGACTCTTTTTTTGGCTTAAACCATTGTATACATGCTGGGGCTACTTACTGAGGAGGGTAAGAGTAGGGGAAGAACAGTGTTGTGGAGGTGGGGGTGAGGGTATTGAAAATCAGAGTTCTGTTTCAGATGGCTAAATTTGAGACCTCTGCTAATAGGCAAAACAGAAGACATCCAGTAAGCTTGTGGCTCGGGGTCAGGCCTAGGCAGGAGATTTAAACGCAGACATCAACATTTAGATGTGTAAGATCATCTAGGTCAGTGGTTCTCAACCTCCTGGCCCTTTAAATACAGTTCCTCATTTATGTTGTGACCCAACCATAAAATTATTTTCGTTGCTACTTCATAACTGTAATGTTGCTACTGTTATGAATCGTAATGTAAATATCTGATATGCAGGATGGTCTTAGGCGACCCCTGTGAAAGGGTCGTTCGACCGCCAAAGGGGTCGCAACCCACGGGTTGAGAACCACTGATCTACGACAATGCTGTCCACTCCTGTGATGATGGAAATCTACATCTGTGCTATTCAGTATGGTCATCACCAGCTCCATGTGGGCCATCGAGCACTTTAAATGTGATAGGTACAACTAAGAGATTCAATTAAAAATTATTTTTATTCCATTTCAGAAAGGAAGGGAGAGGGAGAGAGAAATAAGAAATATCAATGATGAGAGAGAATCCTTGATCAGCTGCCTCCTACATGCCCCACACTGAAGATTGAGCCCACAACCTGGGCATGTGCCCTGACCAGGACCTCCTGGTTCATAAGCCAATGCTAACCACTGAGCCACGCCAACCGGGCAAAGAAACTAAATTTTTAATTCATCTGCATTGAAAGAGCCGCATGTGGCCAACCCCTCCCATATTGGACAGCACAGACCTGGGGGAGAATGTAGGTAAAGAAGGTCCTGGCCAGTAACAACCCGTTTCTTCCCTGTCTAGTAGGCGCAGCCTCTCACCCGCATAAAGCGTGACTTTATTTTCACTTCCATTCTTGCACAGCAGTGCTTATTAAGTGATGGAAATCTTGCTGCTTTGTGAGAAACAGCCTAGAAAAGAAGCAAACTGCCAGTCCTGGGGGGAATAGTAGAAGATATTATAGAAGTCTAAGGAAACAGTTCTCTAGAAAGCAAATACAACCCTTTACCTATAGAATCATTTCAGTCTTGAAGGTACCCCTTATATTTTTCATCATGTTTTATGGGGGAGACTTTTATAGGGTAATGGGTGTCTGTGAATTTGGAGATTCAAGACGGTGACTGGCTGATATCCCACATAAATGTCAAGGGCCCACAGCCACGGGATGAAATGCCAGCTTTATAATGCAAGTTGGGTCTCTTTGGGGTAGAGTGCCTTTGTTAGGCAATCTCGTTCTCCATCCAACTGCAACCATCAGTGAGTTTGCTAATATGAAAGAACTCTTTGTAAGTGGCTGCCTTGTGCTCAAGAGTTCTTGCAAGTGTATACTGGCAATCGGTGAGGCCAGAGTCGATAAAAAATAAAATAAAATGGAAAGATGGGACATGGCTTCTATTAAGGCTGATTGCAGCTGCCATGTTACTTCTTGAAGAACCTTCTGCTGACAGACACTGTGAGAGAGAATGTGTTTTTGTGTGTGTGGTTGATTGGTAAAAAGTAATTATCCGAACTGGAATTGAATAGAGAGGTGAGAGGATTTAAGTCACTGATTTTAGGAGAGATGGCTCCTAGGGCCCTCAGCTCCTTTGAGCTTGAAGGGGTAAGACCAGAGCCTAGGAAAGAGGCTGGACTGAGACTTTCTCACAGCAACTGGAAGGGGTGAAGTAGGACAATCAGAAAAACACTTGGGGATGCCAAATCAGGAGAGAAGGTTGAGCCGAGGATGGAGATGGCTTACAGCATAAAGGCAGCCTTCACATGGTGAGCGCCTTCATCCAGTCAACAGGTATCAGGCTCCCACAGCAAGCCCTCTGAAGGAGGGGCGGCAGGACACCAAAGGCAGACACTTAAGAAAGACTTCCCTGCCCACTTCGCTTTCACTTATTTTGAGATTGTTTCTGAGAGGAGGCAGAGACCTCCCAACTTTCTCCGAGGAAAGGGAATGGGGTGACAGCTGGACGGGGTGAGCTACAAGGGACAGTTCAGTCCTTTTAGCAAGGAGAGCTGGGGGATTGCCTGCAGGCTGAGCCACCGCTGTGACCAAACCTCAGTGGTTTTGTTTCTCAATGTCAATATCCAACACGTCTGTCAGATCCACCCCCCTGCCGTCGGCGGCTGTGACATGACTGTGCTTTCTTCTCCTTACAGTGTCCGAGCTTCAGGAGGAGGGCATGAATGCCATCAACCTGCCCCTCAGCCCCATCCCCTTCGAGCTGGACCCGGAGGACACCATGCTGGGTAACGGGGTCTCTTGTTCTCTGGGGTAGCCTGACGCCTCCCAGTGGAGCCACCCGCACTGACCCCCTTTTCTTTTTAAAGAGGAGAATGAAGTGCGAACAATGGTGGATCCAAACTCGCGCAGCGACCCCAAACTCCAAGAACTGATGAAGGTAAGAAGACATTAGGGCTCCAGTTATCTACCAGACACAACAGGTGTCTATAGACCACCCACCCCGCGTAGGCACCACGCAAGCCACTACTGGGAGAATAACATCACGTCAATGCCTGCCTGCAGGCAGCTCATGGTCCAGTAAGTGGACATCTAAGATTTAACACAAGTGGGACAAATACCCAATGAGTCATGCTGATAATGAGGATCAGAGAAGCTAGTGCAAATAAGCTCACATTTGCCAGGGTCTTAGTCCACACACTCCTTTCACTGCTTTTATTACGGACCCTCAAAAGCTCCTTGTGAAGGAGGAATTAGTGATCAGCCCCCATTTCACAGATGAGAAAACTGAGTCTCAGAGAAGCCAACTGGTTTATGGTCACAGCTGAGTGGAGGAGATGTAATGCAAACAGAAATATATGGTATTAAATGAAATACTGTGCATAACATTTGGCATGTAGGCACCCCTCAAAATGTTCATTTCATTCCCCCTTCCAATTTTCCATCCTATGTTTTTCTTCTTCAACTTCTCCAGCTTTCAGTTGAAACAAGACCAATAGGCACTGGGTGCCAGAGTGGTTCATTCAATCTGCAAATCTGAATCTATCATTTTCCCGCTCAAAAACCCGCCTGCAGTTTCCCAACTGCAGGTTGAAGCCCACACTCCTGGGTGGTATCTGGGGTCTCCATTGCTCTAGCTGCCCCTTCAACCTTAGACTGTCCCCTGCCTGGCCACACATGGACACCAGACCTGCTCCTGGTGGCCCCCCATACACGCCATGCTTGCTTCCAGCTCACCCACTGCCCTGCCTTTGCTTATGCAGTCCCCTTTAACCAGACACCTCTACTTCCTCTTCAGATTACAGTCAAAGTGGGTTCATGTCCTCCAGGATGCCTCCTATAAACCCTAGTGTTGCTCGGCCCCTCTGAGTGCTGCTATGGTCTCTACATTTGGTTCTGTCATTATAGTCACCCTATGACACTTCTCTGTCTCCTTCACTAAATACGGAGTTTCTTGGAGTTAGATTGATTGTTCCATCATTGTACTCTCAGGATCCATCACAGAGTGTGACATACAGGAGGTATTAATAAATGCTGGGTGGGTGATGGAGAGAAGTGAGGAACACACAGAGGGCCATAGTTAGGGGGTAAAGCTGGGTTTCAACTCCAAAGCCCATACTTGGCTCAGTACAAAGCCACACAGCCGAACACTGACTATTGCTTGCCATTAGGGTAAGGAGCACTGGTATCACCAGCACTAGAAGGGCTTACACCCGAGAATTAGCAGGGCCATTGCGGCTCACCCTTGCAGCTGCTTGTCCACATATTGAGTCGTGTGGATAGCTCTGCTGCTTTCAAGACCAGAAGTTCATTTAGATTGTATGTGTCCAGGATAAGAAAGCTGGTCTGTAAGAAAATACCTTATGGCTCTTCTCTTATTTTCGCTCTCTCTCTCTAGGTATTAATTGACTGGATTAATGACGTGCTGGTTGGAGAAAGAATCATTGTGAAAGACCTGGCTGAGGATTTATATGACGGACAAGTCCTGCAGAAGCTGTTTGGTAAGAGGAGAGTTGACTGTTGCAGTGGATCTTTAATAGCAGGTGGACGGACCCCCTACTCCCGGTTAGAAGGAGTTGTTCTCAGTTCCCAGTGGTTCACCTGCAATGGAATAGGAATGTGTACAGTGTGGAATAACAGACCAGTGGAGCTTTTAGATGTCTCCTCAAGATCGGTTTTACATGAATGAATGGCAAAGGGAGGCTCAATGACCAGATGGGGCTGCTGCCTCCCCCTCTCTGCCCCCCCAGCAGTCAAGGTCCTCCACTGAATAGATGAAAAGATTTCACTATATACTGGAAAACATGCCCCACCCTCTCCACAAAACTGCATTTGTGGCCTCTGTAGATATATTCACATGTGTCTGGGTGTGTGTATGTGTTTATATACCTCTGTCACCTGTGAGTGTGTGTGTCCAGCATATGTGTACGGACCTTTGTGATCTATGGGTCTGTGTGTGTGCCTCTGTGACTTATGGGTGTGTGTGTGTGTTCCTGTGCATGCCCTTCTCTAGAAGGTGCAAGTGTGTGGGACTACGTGCCTGTGTGATCAGTTTCAGTGTCTGTCACCTCTGTGAAGGTATGTATCCCTGTGTAGGTTCATGGCTATTCATGTGAAAATTTAAGGCCGTGGGAGAGGGAAAGGAGAATTCAGGGGTGATCTTAGTGTTGAAAAGACAAATTGAACTTGAATGTATTTGGACTTCTCCTCACTGTTCTCCATTTTTTTTCTCTTGTCCAAACCTCTGCCCAGAGTTCTAGACTTTCATGCTTAATTGTCCACCAGACACCTACACACATGGTTCTCTTCCACCTCAGAGATTTGGACAAGAGAAAATAATTATTAGAGTTGTACATTTTGGGGAAGAATACCACCGAAGTGATGTTTCCTTCTCATTGTATCATATCAGGGAGGACATGATGTTAACATCTTATTATTAGTGGCGTTCACCTTGATCATTTGGTTAAAGTGGTGTCTGCCAGATTTCTTCACTAAAACGTTACTATTTTTCTCTTCGTAATTAATTTATTTGGGAGGAGATAGGTTAAGACTTGCATAGATCTTGTTTCTCCTTAAACTTCTTTCACTAATTTCAGTTGATGGAGCAGGCCTGCCTCAGTTAATACTGTGATGGTCTAGTGAGGATTTTCTGTTTTCCTTATTCCTTCTACATTTATTAGTTGGAATTCTTCTGTAAGGAAACATTGTCCTCTATTCCCCAGTGACTTATTTATGTCAGTGTGGACACAAGGATGCTTATTTTATACTACACATTATAATCCAATGCCATCGTTACTCATTTTTGCTGATATACTTCCAATTTTGACTGTTGGGGCCTCTTTCAGGTTGGCTCCTGCACACTTTCGACATGCTGCCTCCTTTTTTTTTCTTAGCACTTTCTGGCATCATAAGATATACCAGGCTCATCTTCTGTTTTTCTTACTCTGGCCCTGGAATCAACCACTTCTCCAAGAAGCCCTGATTTCTTTTATTAGATATGTATTTAGAAATCAATATCTGAGCATATTAGTGAGAGGTGGCTTTTTTTTAAAGTACAGTTGATATACAGTATTATTAGTTTCAGGCGTCCAGTATATTAGGTGATCATCCCATCTGAAATCTTGTACCCACCCACACCATAGTGTTATTACAACTCTAGAGGCCCAGTGCATGAAATTTGTGCACAGGAGGGGGGGGCGTATCCTCAGCCCGGCCTGCACCCTCTCCAATCCAGGACCCCTCGGGGGATGTCTGACTGCCGGTGTAGGCCTGATCCCACAGTCCAGGCCTAGGGACCCCACTGGGCCGGCCACAGCTGCAGGCTCCTGGGACCATGGGCAGCTTCGCCCGGGTCTGGCTTTGTCAGGAAGGACGTCCGGTCTAATTAACATATTACCCTTTTATTAGTATAGATTATTGACTCTATTCCCTAGACTGTACCATTTATTTCTGTGATTATTTTGTAACTGCCAATTTGTACTTCTTAATCCCTTTCACCTTTTGACCCAACCCTCTTCCATAGGGCAACCACCAATTTGTTCTCTGAGTCTGCTTCTATTTTCATTTTGTTTTTAGATTTTCATATATAAGTGAAATCATATGGTGCTTGTCTTTCTCTAAATTATTTCACTTTCCTTAATACCCTAGGTCCATCCATGTTGTCACAAATGTAAGATTTCATGCTTTTTTATAACTAAGTAATATTCCATTGGACATACATACATATTTTGGAATAGTTTGAGAAGGATAGGTATTAATTCTTCTTTGGATGTTTGGTAAAATTCACTTGTGAAGCCATCTGATCCAGGTATTTTGTTTTATGGGGAGTTTTTTAAAATTACTGATTGGATTTTGTTATTAATTATCAGTCTGTTCAGATTGTTTCTTTCTGATTCAGTCTTGGAAGCTTGTATGTTTCTAGGATTTATCAATTTCTTTCAAATTGTCCAATTTGTTGGCACATTTGTTCATAGTATTATAATTCTTTGTATTTCTGTGGTGTTAGTTGTCACTACTCCTCTTATTTCTGGTCTTATCTATTTGGGCCCTCTCTCCTTTCTTATGAATCTGGCTAAAAGTTAATCAATTGTGTTTATCTTTTCAATGAACCAGCTCTTGGTTTGATTGATCTTTTCTGTTGTTTCTTCAGACTATTTTGTTTCTTTCTGCTCTGATCTTTATTTTTTCTTTACTTCCATTCATTTTGGGCTTTGTTATTTTTCTAGTGCTTTTTGGTGTAAGGTTAGTTTGTTAATTCAAGATTTTTATTGTTTCTTTAGGTAGGTCTTCATTGCTATGAATTTCCTTCTTAGAACTGATTTCTCTATGTCCCATAGATTTTGGGTGGCTGTGTGTTTTCATTTTAATTTGTCTCAAGATATCTTTTGATTTCCCCCCCCCCTTGATTTCATTGTAATTGATTTCTAGTTCCATATTATTGTAATAGGAGAGGATGTTTGCTATGACTTTAAAGTTATTAAATTTATTGAGACATTTTGTGTCCTAACATGTGGTCTGTCCTGGAAAAAGTTCCATATGCACTTGAAAAGAATGTATATTCTGCTGCTTTTGGTTGAAATGTTCTAAAAATACCAATTAAGTACATCTGGTCTAATGTGTCATTAAGTCCACTGTTTCTTTTTGATTTTCTATCTGGATTATGTATCCATTGATGTCAGTAGGGTGTTAAAGTCCCCACTATTACTGTGGATGTCTCCCTTTATATCTGTCAATATTTGCTTTATACATTTAGGTGCTCCTACATTGGGTGCGTAAATGTTTATAAGAGTTTTATCCTCTTGTTGGATTGATCCCATTCTTATTACGAAATGCCCTTTTTTGTTTATTATTACAGCCTTTAGTTTAAAGTCCATTTTACTTCATATAAGTATTGCTGCCCCAGCTTTTTTTCATTTATGTTTGCATGAAATGTATTTTTGCAACCCTTTACTTTCAGTCTGTGTCTGCTTTTAGTTTAAAGTGGGTCTCTTGTAGGCAGCATATGTACAGGTCTTGTTTCTCTATCCATTGAGCCACCTATGTCTTTTGATTGGAACATTTAGTACATTTACATTTAAAGTGATTATTGATAGACATGTACTTATTGCCATTTTTGTAGTTCTCTTTTCCTTTCTTATGGTCTTGCTGTCTTGTATGACTTTCTATAGTGGTATGTTTAGATTCCTTTCTCTTTATTTCTTGGTTATATCATTTTGGTTGTTAGTTACCATGTGCTTCCCATATACCACACTATGTTTACATCAGTCTATTTTAAGTTGATGGTTGCTTTAGTCCGAACACATTCTAAAATAACTACAATTTTTACTCACGCCCTCCAGATTCGTTTTTGTCATTCTTTTTTATTTCTTTTGTTTGTGGGTAGCCCTTACTTTATTGTTGTAATTACAAATGATCTTTCTACTTTATTTTTAATCTTCGTAGTAGCTTTATCCATTGCTTTTACTGTTTGCCTGTCAGTGAGAATATTTTTCTCTCTGCTTCTTAAAGAAGTCCCTTTGTTTGTGGTGATGAACTCCTAAGTTTTTCTTTTCTGATAAAGTCTTTATCTCGCCTTTGATTTTAAATGATAGCCTAGTTATCTTGGTTTTAGGTGTTTTCCTTTCATCCCTTTGAATATTTCATGCCATTTCCTTTTGGCCTGCAGTTTCTGTTGAGAAATCAGCTGACAGTCTCATGGGAGTTCCCTTGTATGTTACTATTTGCGTCTTGCTGCTTGTAAGATGCAATCTTTATCTTTAACCTTTGGCATTTTAACTATAATGTGTCTTGGTGTAGGCCTCTTTGGGTTCATCTTGTTCAGGGCTCTGTGCCTCCTGGACTAGTAGGTTTATTTTGTTCATTAGGTTGGGGGAATTTTCAGTCATTATTTCTTCAAATAGGTTTTGAATCCCTTGTACTCTCCCTTCTCCTTCTGGTAACCCTATGATGTTATCCCAAAGGTCCTTAAACTGTACTCATTTAAAAAAAATTTTTTTGCTGTTGGTTGTTTCCCACTATCTTTTCTTACAAAGTGCTGATTTGATCCTCTGCTTCATCGAATTTGCTGTTGATTCCACCTAATGCATCCTTCATTTCTAAGTGCTACTTTTTATATTTTCTATCTCTGTTTTGAAGTTCTCACTAAGTTCATCACCTATTTTTCCCCTAAATACATTGAACATTTTTTTATAACTAGTGTTTTGAACTCTGGTAGATTGCTTGTCTTCATTTTATTTACTTCTTTTCATGTATTAGGTAGATAGCTGCCTTTCCCATCTTGGAAGAGTGGCTTTATGTAGTAGGTGTCCTGTGGGACATAGTATTTCTTGTCTCCTGATCCAGGTGCTCCAAGGTATCCCCTGTGTGGGCCGTCTGGGCCCTCCTGCCATATTTCAGCCTTTACTGATATTGGCACCTCAGTGTGGTTGATACTCAGGCTGACAGGCTAAGAGCACTGACGACAGTGGCTGAGCTGATGTGCGGGAGGCTGACCCCACAGAGC